GTATTAACTCATTATTTTTTTGAACGATCATGTTAGTAAAACCAAAAGTGATGCTTATTTGACATTTGAATGATTCATTTGATTCACTGTGATTCACATGACTCAAAGTTTTATAATTCGTGTCTACCCCCTAGTTGAGACCATTTTGTAAACAAATAACTGTTGTGTTCAAGATTCGCCGCATGTTTTATAGAATGCACGAAAATTGTGGGGTACGGGTCAGTGTGCGGTCAGCATTGAATTTTTATTTTTATACCTACTTATGTACAATCAATTTTAATTCAAATCATCTGAAGTGGAACTTCTAGAATCAATAATAAAATTGTTAAATGCAATAGTTAACGTTTCTAACAACATTCCCAGCAAATTGGAATTAAGACAACGGAACATGCGTTCAAATATTTGAAAAAATTAAAAAAATGTGTTCAAAATCCGTATACAGTTCTTTTTTTCGAGTCAGAGCGATATCTATGTTACTCCAACTACAAATTGAAATTATAATCGCTCCAAAACTGCAAACAACAACTCATAAAAAACTCAAACAAATGTAGGAAATGTATGGCGTTTAACCATGTTTTTTTTTTCGTGCTAATTACAACGAAAATAAAACACAATGCGATAGTCGCATTTTTTTTAAGAAGTTCAGTTGCATTAGAATTACGATTTTAGCGATTTTTAAATGCCTAAAAATGGATTGCAAAATTCAAAAAACTTCCTCGCATTTATGCTCACGTTCGTAATTAACATGTGCACCGGTTCAAATACAATGAAACAGGTAAATCAAAAATTCGCTCGATGCCACACACCGTAACCGATATGTTTACTCGATTTTATTCAGCTTATGTTTTTCCTCTGTTCATGCATTCCTACCCATCTATTCAGTGTTCACTGTAAATGCTTTGTTATTGCCTTTGAATAGCCACTTTTTCTCTCTCTAATAGTTAATACCGATATTACTCACATATAAATGTCGAGTAATTATTGAATTATCGATGAACCAGCATGGTGTTTTCGTGCACATGACGAATCGTTTTAATATGAAGTGAATATTAATGCCAATGCTATTTTCTTTCCGTTTTGTTTTGAATGTTTCATTTAAATCGCAAGTATTTATAATAGCCACTATAATATTGAACACATTGATCGTTTTCAAGTTCGAGCGAATAGAGCTTCGTTTGCTCGGTGAACAAATGTTTTGATTTTGTTTGTTGTTGCAAATCAACAAGCCAAAGAGAGATCGTTTAACATTTAAGAAGGCCATTCCGTGCTTTGAACGATAACACACACACCCGGTTTGACGCAAATATTAGCATGGAATAAAAGTGAAAGTGGTTTATTCTTATCGATATAATGCGCAATTTGTCATTACACACTGTTCGATGCTATTGAACTGTGTGCATCCGTTCCGTCAAATATAATGAGAATTTTATTGCTGACGGCAATTTCAAATATCTCAATTGAACATAAAGGTGACAAAGAATAAAGAAACATTTTTTTGATGTTGTCTATGGTCGAATTTAAGTAGCTGCTAAAGTGTTTACACATTGACTGAACTTTGAATCACTTAAAAGAAAGACCACACCATTATGTGGTACTCATAAATGATGACTCAACAATATTTCAAGCATTTTAATGATACTAATCATTTCGATGAAGAGAGCAAGTGGAAAAAAAAACACAACGTGCGCGAGCACACACATGTATTACTTCAGTTGACGCTATTGATGCAAAATTGCTCAATTCAGTTACACATGAGCTATACCAATCTGCATGACACACTAACGATATATTTCACCATGTGCACGTAATCGAAAAACGATCAGCGCAAAAATGAAAAAGAAGTGAATGTGCGGTTACAGCTTTAGCACTTTTGCATCAATACATTGAAATAAAATGCTCAAGTGTCGCGCACAAGACAAGAACGACAACGATGGCGACGACGACAAAACATACTGGTGTGATCGGTTGCAACATAAAATCATAAACAATTTCTATATACCAAATACAAGCAGCACCACCGCTGCCGATATTGTGAGTGAAAAGGTGATTTCTTCTGCTCTCGCCTTTGCCGCAGACAAGAGTGAGTTATGGAATGGATATGGCAGAGTTTTCTTGCCTTTCATTGATCACATAATACATTAGTATTTATTTAATTTTATTTTTTCTTTCTTAATGAAAGAGAATTTTGAACGCTGTGTGTGCCGTATGGCCCCGTACAGGGAAATAGCTCGTTAACGGTTTGAATGTAATGAAATCGATTATCTTTTGAATAACTTTGATGCAAATACCATTCAATTTTCATCCAGAAATAATCGTACAAAGTTTATTGCAAAGAAATGGCGCCAATTGCAAAATACTTTCAACCAGAATGCCGGATTGGTTTGATCTTTGGATTAATCACTTGTCGACTGACACAAATTCATGCGAGACGAGAATTGCAAATTCTTCAAATGACTAGTCGTCACACATTCATCAACAAAGTGAATGCCGTAAATTGAATACGTTTGTTGAGAAAGAAATCCGAAAAAAAGAGATAGAGAAAGAAAGCATTTCAAACAAAAGCGAAATGGGTTTTTTTTCGGGTTCGATTACACAACACTTTCTCCACGTAATATAATAAAGCCGCCGCATCAACAACGAAAAATCATTTAATATTCGGTATCGGTATATGAATAAAAGCGAACCGAATAATGGCGTCTCGTTCGAATAAATTTAAAATGTACGCAATTTCATTTTGCCATCTTTTGATTCGTTTCGGTTTCAATGTTCATTACCATTCGCAATCAAAGCCGTTTGAAACTTTAAGTCGTTTAACAATTGATTTCTCCCATTTGTTTCCCATTATATATTCTTCTTTTGTGCATTTGCTTTGATTGTGGTAAACGAAGAGCAATAAAACTTTTGTTTACCAATTTGCTCAAGAAGAAATTATCTCTCATTTGTTAAATTGAATAACTTTTATTTCGAGTTTTATATAAAAAAATAACAAACGTGGTGCAAAACAGTTCCGAATTATTTAACTGGAATTATCTTGGTTTGTGATGTATTTCCATCTTTTCTTGACGCCGCCAAGTTGACGGAAATGAAAGGAAATAATTCCAATTTTTTTTTTATCATTTTGATTTTTCCCGGAAAGATTTTTTTTTCTGTGGATGTTGTCCTTCGCGTGAAAAGAACATATAGAACTAAAAGACACGCGACTATCTTTGACATTCACATCGAAGTCAGAGCCTTGTACGGTTTGTACCAGTGCACTATGTCTGGTGTGCAAAAAAACCCAGTGCAAATATGATGTGTTGCAGTAAAAACTCAACCAACGCTGTCTATGACAAATTAATGGATTCTATCTGGGCCAAATCGTTTGAAGTCTGTACAAACGTATAAAGCAGAATTCAATATTGCAAAACACACGACTTGAAATTGTGTTTGGAAATCAGCTGTTATAACATACGAGCTAAAACCAGTCTCGTGGTTTAAGTCTATTCAATCAAAATATGATTTTATTATGAAGAAAGCTTTTCCGTTGTTGGTTAATACCATATACAAGCGATTTTTTTTTTATTGCCATGGATCATCGAATTTAGTCCAAAGCTGTCTGAATACGATTTGGTTGAATTGAAATGCAAAGATCAAATATAATCAACAAACTTCATTATAATGAATGTCTAAACAAAGCCACGCATATCAAACTATGAATCTTCAATGTCGACGAAGGCACATACGCGGACACACAAATGCGTAATTCATATTTCACCTCCTTAATAACGATTAAAATATGTCAATAATAGTGTAACAAAAACACCTACAAATCCAGTGTTTCAATGAATCGCTAATCTGCGATGGTTGTCATTTTGTAATCGAAAAATAATTCATGTGTTTAGAGGCTGTCTGATTTGTGTGCGCATGACTATAATTTTGTGCCAACAATTTGAATGAATTGAAATGTTAAAAATGCAAATTATAACCTCTTATTGCTTTTGTTGATTGTCTACGTCTTCCATATCTATGTTTCACTCATCGCAAATGCGCTTTAATAATATTTGAGCATTTAAGACAGACACGACGTCAACGTTGTAAGTGTTTGTACTGAATCCAAGGTGTTGAAGAGAGAAAAAAACGCACCGATTGCAGACAGCAATCAGAATGCTATTTGTAATTATATAATTTGGATTTGATTCAATCTCTTTTTATGAACGCCAAACTAAAGGAATTATACAATATGCATTTGTTAGTTTTTTTTTATTCATTCAATATTTGCGAATATGCTCGCGTTGGGTGAACGTTTGCTGATTTTCTATTTCATGCGATGCATAATGTGACAGCGAAGAATGAATAAATATAAATCAGGTGTTTTTGGGCGCGATTGCTATGTGGTATCATTTGAATGATGCCAATTTAGCCAGTATACAATTTAAAACAAATGCAAGCCATTTTGGCATGTCCACAGTTGACTTAAGTAGCCTTCGTTGTATATAATTTTCTTTAAAATAATCGTTTATTATACTCTTTTATTTTAAATCAATTTAAACATTGTAGACATTCATTGTCTTTGTTTCAGAACTGCATGTTTTCACTCTCGATATATTTTCGTAAAATGCAGAGCTATTTTTAAGACATCGCTTATTGTTGATGAAATAGAATCCATTGCGCACATGCGAATTTACTTCGAAACCAAAGTGTAAGCTGACATGCTTACTGAAATTGATTACTTTTGATATTGCATAAATATTGTACGGTATTATTAAAGTAGGTTCGAATGTCGAGCATTGAAATACACACACACCGTATATGCATAAACTGACCAATGTATAATGGGCTAACTCGATTTGTAGATACACAGAATTTTATGCAATTTCCTATAAATGGTATTACCATAATTTGTCGCAAAAATGTTTACACTATTTATACTGTAATCGAATCGATTATTATACATTTGAAATCGTATGATCCGCTTGGCAATTATTAATGTTTTTTTTTCATTTTTTTTTTTATTATTTCAGTGGATGACGCTACTGGACATTATACCACCGGTTTGTTCTATGGCAACAACTATTGGATTGGATCATTGTCATCATGTAAATCTATCTACAAAGAAAATATCGTATCAAATTCGCCAAGCATAGGTAACTTTTCATTTTATTCAAATGGCTTCAACATTTTCTCAAAAAAAAAAAATATATCTTATTAATTTTAGCTCGAACTCGTCAAGCAAAAGATGAGATTTCGTTCAACGATGCATACAATCCAGCGGCGGCTTCATTGCCCCATGAAAATCCCCCATTTATTCCAGGTTTCTTTGTTCTCAAAGCAAAAATCAATGAAACCGAAATTGTAAAATACGTAAGAAATATCAATCTTTATAAAATTTAACATTAAAATCACCGAATAAAAAACTGTATTTTATCTCTAGCCGCGAACAATTCGACTTGGAGTGTGTTTACCATCAACGTGTTCACTGGACGACATTGCACACATGGCACTTCTATCACAAAAATCGATGGCTCATCGTAGCATGGAAATCGCATCGGTTCGATCACCAACCCAAAATCCATATGAATATTGGAATGATACAACTTTCATCATTCTAGTGTAAGTTTAAATAATTCAGTTCGATCGTCAATTGAAATGAATTAACATTTAAACGATTACATTTTACCATTACAGTACGGTGTCATCGATTGTCTTCATCCTTATGGTGGTTGCCACATTATATGAGATACATCTTACTGCCCGTTCAAAACGAGCATTGAAAAATAAAAATCTAAATAAAGACGAAATGGCGTCAGATTCATCATCTGGAATTGGTTGTACAACATATGATTTGTCGAATGCCGTTCCAAATAAAAACGATTTACCTATTGGTATTGTAATTCCACGTGGAATGAATAATAATAATTCGGATGAAAATTTGGCCGGAGGTTCAATCAATATTGAAGAAAAAGAGTTGGGCGTTTGGTCCGAGTTGTTGTTGTCTTTCTCGATTATCACCAATTTTAATGCGATCTGCGATCGAAGTGTAGGCAGTGATACGATACCATCAATTCATGGACTGCGTGCTATCTCAATGGCTTGGGTCATTTTGGGTAAATTTTATTGCCAGTCTCATTAATCACAATGTTTCGTTTTGACTATTTAACATATTCCATATTTGTTTGAATTTTATGGTCAATTTCAAGGTCACACGTGTATCATTGTATTCAAATATGCGGATAACATGGAATTGCGTAAAGTGGTGGAGAAAGAATTCTGGTTTCAAACCATTTCAAATGCAACATTTAGCGTTGACACATTCTTCTTCATAAGGTAAATTGGCTACTTCCTCTCATGGTAAATGTATTCATTTCCGCAAACATTTTCATTAACTCGCATACGCATTTTCAGTGGTTTTCTCGTTTCGTACATATATTTCCGAACCAATGCCAAGGGAAAATTGGAGAAACTTTCAAAAGGTGTCAATGAATTTACAGCAGGCACATTCCATTTCTTCGGTTTGATTGGATATCGATTTGTTCGGTTAACTGCACCATATATGTTCGTTTTGGGTCTCGTTGAAGTTGTTATGAAATATTTCTATCATCATTCCGTTTTTGAAACACCAACACCAGATCATGAAAATTGCCCAAATTACTGGTGGCGTAACATTCTCTACATAAACACATTATTCCCTGTCGAACAAATGGTAAGTTTTATTCAACGTCACATTTATTTCTATTTTGCGTAAAAAAAGAAACAATATCTAAAATAGGCACTTGATTACATATATTGCCAAAAAAGATGGAATTTATTTAAAAAAAACAGCACCTTATTTGAACTAGCATCATATTTGACGGACCGTGCGTATGTAAAATATCGACTTGACACTAACCACCTTTTGATTTTGGTATCATTTACCATCTTCAGATGACGCACCAAAAAACTACCAAATCGGTATTATTTTAATTAATAAATTAACATATTTTATTTCCTTAGTGTATGCTTTGGAGTTGGTACTTAGCCGATGATACGCAATTCTTTATTGTTGGAGCATTTATTCTCATCATTGCCGTGAGGTAAATTAGAAAAATCTTTTAATGAAAATAAACATTTTTAATCGATTTACGATTTCATTTGCAGACACTTTAAAGTGGCATCGACGATGCTCATCGTGTTCATGGTGTCATCATGGATAACGACCGGCTTCATTGCATTCCAAAATAATCACATACCGAATACTGATGATCCACTTGCATTGTTTGATAAGATTTACGACAAACCATGGGTAAAGTTTATTTCACACTTTAACTGTTATTCTTATGTGTGGTGATAGTGTCAAATGTACTTGAAAATACTAGAAAAAAATTTATGAATTCTATAATTGTTGAATTCTTTTGGAAATATATAGTTTATATAATGAGTAAATAACTTTGAGCCAACTAATAAGTATCGTCACTTTCTTCTAATGTCTTTTAATAAGCTGTAGCATTCTCTATTTTTGTTAATTTCTAGTTGGTGTCCTAAGCCTTATACAAACAATTTATTTTTATTATTTTTTTGTTTTATTTATCCCATTGGTAGACACGTTTGGGTCCGTATATGGTTGGCATGTGCGTCGGATGGTTCTTATTCGAAAATGATGGCAAAATCCGTATGAGTCGCGTACGTATAATTTTTTATCTACTTCAATGCATTGTGATCGAAAATTAGCTAAAAGATAATTATCTTTTATCCATTTAGACCACGCTGGTTATTGGTTGGTTTTCGTCTAGTTTCTGTTTGCTTTGGCTCATCTATGGACTATACAATGTCAAATTAGACCCATTCACCGCAGCCGCTTACAGTTCATTGAGTCATTCAGCATGGGCCATGAGCTTGGCTTGGATCGTTGTCGCTTGTTCATCAGGTTATGGAGGTTATGTTAATAAAATTCTCTCAGCACCTGTAATTTATCCATTTTCACGTGTCACGTACTGCGCCTACTTAGTGCATCCAATTGCAATTCGTTTTGTTTCTCTCAATTCGGATGCCACACTACATTTGGGCAGTGATTCAATGGTATGTACAATATTTATATTCATTGCAAATGCATGTTGCGTTTAGAAATAAATTCATTGACTCATCATGATTTTTTGTTTGTACATTTTCAGATTGTATTGTTCTTTGGACACATGATACTCTCGTTTTTGTTGGCATTCATAATTTCATTATCATTTGAGGCACCTGTTGTAACGATGCTGAAAATCCTCACACCAAATCGAAAGAAAATTTTAGTTGAGAGTCGGGAATGATGAGATCAATTTTAATCATTTTTCGTTAACAGGTTCATATGTAACATTTTATTGAGGCCAATGTATAGCATCATAAATTCATTTTTGAACAACATTGCACACCAATACTTACCACGTACTTGCCCTATGAACAATTGTAATAAGTTACAATCATAAGTGGTGTGCCCATAAAAAAGCTACTAAGATATGTTTGGTATTTAATACGCCGTCGCAAACTGTTCTCTTTTGTATTTAATTAAATAGGAATTCATTTTAAATTAATTTAAAAACCCAATTTACTGTAGCAATCATTAATCATAAATAATATAGGTACGTTTGTAAGCTATTCTTTTAAAATAAAACCATACGAAACTACATTGAACTGTTGCAATTTATTTTAATAAAGTAAAACACATTTTTAAATGAATTCCATATGTTTAAAATTTCCGTAAAATTAAAATGTAAAAAATTTCCACCAAAGAGAGAAAAAAACAAAGTCGAGGCCCGAAAATAAAACCTTACGAGTAATTTGCTGGGTGGATTTTTGAACTTGAACGGATATTGTTATATTTCCATCTATTGCGTCGCTATCATCCACGGGGATATAAAGGTTGTATACAGTTCTTTTCTTCATATAGCGCCTATTTATGCAAAAGGAAAAAACAACAATTTTCAACTTATTCAAATAGAAAATTACCAACGAAACAAATTCATTTCAGTCATATATTACCCGACTTAACTGATCTGCGATTCACTACAAGAAGTGGGACATAGTTTGTTTTTTCTGTGGTAGGCTAATGCGGAATGATGCGGAGGCCGGGTTTTAATGCATTTCATTTGATCGTAGGTACAGTATTGACTTTCATCTGTTGAAACAAACAATTAAAATCTCAATTGATAATCTTGATTTAAACATATGGCTTACATTCATCCGGCGCAGAGGTTAGCGTACAATTGCACTTCTTCAATTCAAATTGAACTCGAAGATAAATTAAGCACGAAGAAAAGCCATACGAAAGAGATGCATTGATGGGCCAACGTTCTTCTGGAAATCGACACTTTCGTTTCTTAATGGATACGTCCCGTACGTTTTCAAAGTTAACCATTTCTATAGTCTAAAAAAAGAAAAATATTATACCCTGGCTATTTACTAACCAGTAAACATCCCCAGTGGACAATTTCTTTTTCTTCAAATTCCCTATTGGATATGGTAGAGGGGTCAAAAAAACACTTTTTGCATCAAAAAAATTTCCCCAAATTCATATGGGGTCTGGGTACGCCCCCTTGAAGTGTCCAAAATCCCCTTTTGTGTTATATACGGTCATCTATATCTTTTAAACGACGCAAAATATTCGAATACTTTCTTCGGCAAAATTGAAGAAAAAAAATTGTCCACTGGGGATTTTTACTGGTAAGTTTATGTTTATTACTTTTACGGTAATTTCTTGATCGTGATTTTCATATAGTTTAAATGTTTTGCTTGTATAGTCATTTGGAAATTCATCTGGACTTTGTACATAAACCTTAAAGAGAGATCAATGTTGTTCAGGTAAAATATAATAACATGTCGGGTAAAATGTAAATAATAATTATTATATTATTTACACGTGAACCGTATCCTTTCGTAAATGTCCGCCTCTTTTCTCTCATAAGTCAGCGGCAATGCATTCCAATTTAAATCACTGCTAGAACAAAATGTCATTAGTTAAAAACTTTTATCCATAGTTCTTTAATGAAATGTTAATTTTTCTATTTACTAAAAATAAATTGAGTTTGCCATGAAGCACATGCCCTCTTTATAGATTATTATTCTCTTGAATATGTTGTTACAATCTTCAAAGTGTCTGCCATTGAATCGAATATTTTGAAATAATTCATTGCAATTCGGAAATAACTGCAAATAAATGAATCTTATGAATGCTTGTCATGCACAAAAACCTATTCGTGCACATAATTTATAATCAATTTCTTACCAGGTTTTTTATAGATTGAACATCAACGCCACATGTGCCGTTGATTGCATTAGTACACGAATCTAGTGGTATATGGACGTATTGAGAACTGGGATGTTCAAATACGTAACTTAAAACTTCATCGTAGAAATGTTTCCTGAAATAATCACAATAATCGCTGAATGTAAGTTTTTATTCTTAATTATTTTTTAGTTATGGACGAAATACCCTTTCGGTTCTTCCATGTTATGTTCTGCGTAATATTTTTGAATGAATTCACCCACTGTTTCGTTATTTGCTTCAAAGGTACCCAACTTTAAAATGCATATAGAAACACCTGGAAACTTATTATTTCCATTTAAATCAATTGAGTCAAAGTTGGTAACAATTTCACCATCAAAGTAATCATTTAATGTGTGCACAAATAGCATTGTCATGATTCCGACACATGCGATTATAGTGCAGATCCAATAGATGCTGAAATTGTGAGTTGGTTTTACATACTGCACTACAGTAAAAATACGAAATAAGGAAATTCCTTACCGAACCATTGTTCCATGTCCACCACCTAAGAATCGCATACCATGTAAATAACTTTTTTTGATAAAGTAATCAAATCTGATTGGAAATTGTGCCCAGTCTTTCAAATGTGAATACATTTTTCGAAAATGATTTGTTTCCTTTTTCTTGTCGCACTTTGGAGAACCAACTTCGTTTTCTATGATACTTGAACTCATTTTTTGAATTTGAAAAAACACAAATGGTTTTCTAGAAGTTTCAGTTGCCACTGATTCAAATTCAATTTAAAACGTTCACGTAACGGCGAAATTGAATTGTCCAGTTACTAATTTAAATCATGAAAGTATAAAAATTCGTGATTTGAAGCGAATCAAAAACAAATCTCTCAAAGAATATGCATATTTTATGCTGACTCCTACATTTTTCGCCATTATTGCTCGTTGGGTAGCAAATGTGAAACAATCGATTGTGGTTCGACAAGTTCTATAAAAAATGGTTCTATAAAAAATGTTGGGATTTCTCATCCCACGATCCCCATGATGACTAAGAGCAAAGTTTGGCTGTGTGTCAAACTGAAAGAATAATGTTTCGAAATTTATTTATTGCGAATTTGAAATGAAAATAATCGATTCCAAGTAAATCATCCAAAAATAATAAAGCGATGATCGCATATTAATCGAATAACCCATTGAACCGGCACGGAGATAAACGAAATGAATTTAAATGTAATGAAACCAGACATTATATTTAGATATTTTCAGCCAGATGAATCAGCTCAGCTTTATAGCCATAACAATCACTTCCATTGTTTTCACTCAATTTCAGCGCCTGACGATATCTGGCTGAAAATATTTCAACATAATGTCTGAATGAAACAAAAAATTATTTACCGACTAACGACATTTCGTTCACTTATAGAACTCTTTTAAATAACCTGATTATGATGTGGTTTGGGTTTTTCCAAATATGAATAATTACCCTACATATATGTGCATAGGATTTATATGTATATATTGAGGTAATATACTAGATTGAACGCTTTCAAGCATCTTCGACGATGTTTACGATTGGTTTTGAAAAGCTGTGATTGTGCGACTTTTGAATGGCGTACTTTCCCAACATTTTCAAAGTAAATAGAGAAGGTTATCAGCTAGGGGACGGAAACCATTAGCTAGTTTTTTTTTGTTTCAAGTAAAAACTAGGAAAATTAGAAAAAAACTAGCAAAAACTAGAAAAATTAGCAAAAATTATTTGACCCGCCATTTTGATATTGTGCCATGATTTGGTAACTAAATCAATTTTACAAGTCGACTATTGAAAGATACAAGTATTTTTGCACGATTTTGTGTTAAAAAAGAATAATTAAACTAATTTTTACTATTATAAGTGTATAATTATTCAAAACACATAAAAATATGTCTGAACAACTAAACGTCAAAATACTTCATTGTGTCAGTACAATCATTTGATTGTCATTTGACAGAACAAAAAACTAGAAAACTAGCAATTTCATAAAGGAATATTAGCATTATTAGATTATTCAAGCAATAAACTAGTAAATTAGCTAAAAACTAGTAAATTAGCTATAAACTAGAAAAACTAGCATTGGTTTCTCTCCCCTAGGTTATCAGTGATGTTACCAGTATGTTATCACCTTCATCGAGCAACAGATATATTATCCCGAACAATTACAGCTTGCATCAATTTGAATCAATTCATATGATACAATGGGCAAAACCAGTTTAATGATTAACATTTTGATTTTAATTTGTTTGTTTTGACGGTGTTCGTTCTTTGTCTTTTATCGTCTTTCTCTGTCATATTCTCATTGGCAGGAGTGTTTATTGATCAGTCTTTAATGTGACTTTCGAGCTACAACATCATTGCAATCTTTTTGCTCGACATTTGTGAGTTCTATAGCTAAATTTCAAAAGAATAACATTGAATACAGTTCAGACTTTTGTAGATCGAATTATATTATTTATAAAATTATTATCACAATAAATTATAAGCTTTCTTGTCACTGTGACTAAATTTTTATTGTTGAGAATGTCGATCTTTTGTAAGCAGTGCAATTGAACTTGAACCATGCAAAATGCTAATTGATTTTTAAAAAAATTAAACATTCCATACAAACCTATTAAAATTAATCTAGGTCTAACTATCATTATTCCAAAGTGTAAATGATTATTCTGAAGAATAAAAAAATCTTGGCTCCGACATTTCAGATTGTAGTACGTGAGAAATGTTCCGACAAGGTAACCTTTATGGCGCGTCTTTCGTTTTATTTTCGTACTTTTTTTGAGTTATTATTTGTCGAAAAAAATCTCACGATGTAGAAGTCTCCTCAAAATTTGCATTGAATGTTAGTCAAAATAGTATTACTGTTGCCTACAGTGTCACCATTGTCATTGTCATTTTTTGAATATTGATTTTGTGAAAACCATTTGTGTGACTATGTAATTGTAAAAGTATTTTATACACAAATGAACAGGACAACTGTTGCGTTGTACGTCCTGAGAAGCGGAGATGTCAAACTTCATTTATATCTACCTACTGAATGAAACGAAAAAGAAATGTTTAAAACAAGATTTCCAACGACGCTAAACACATACAAATGTTAGCTCTAGTAGATACTCTCTACATTTGCAAGAATGATTTGCGCGTCAACGTGGATTGCCAACTCGTTTTACTTCTGCACATGTATTCGAGTTATAAGCAAGTTTTTGTTTTTTTTTGTTTGAATTTGCATTGCAGGGTCAAGTAAAAAAAGATCAAAAGTATTCAAATTGGAACAGATGTATGATAATTTTCAAAGGTTCACTCAGTTTTTTCTGCGTATTTGTGTGAAGCAATATTAAATCGCTCTTGGCATTATCACTAGCTTGAGTTATCACTAAGACAAAAAATTATTCTTTAAACTCACTTCAATGTAAATTTAAATATTTTTTTTCTTTCTTCTCCAGAACATTATTCATCGTTTGATAAAAATGAAGATTTTACTACTATTTTTGGTCTGTAGTTTTATAGGTGATTCCATCACCGAACCATATCGGTAGGTGTAATTATTGCAGTAGCAACTCGATTATCCGCATTGGATCTCTATTAAGTATTAACCGTCAACCCCAAAAATCTCACAATTAAAGTACTGTTTCGTTGGCGATTACTTTCAATCAGATGCCAACACCAACATTTTCATATTGGTTGTAACCATAATTTTGGTCACATAGCTATAAATATGTGTGATTTGTTATCCGTCAGGGAATTTGAGCATGTCTGACGGTTAATCAAGTTGCTACTGATCAATTCAAGTCTTGGTCACCTTTTTATTATTTTTTCTTGTAATTTCAATAAATGTTTTAAAGGCATTTGAATGCGCAAGATCTTGATCCATCCAGAAACGGTAAGACAACAAAACGCGATCAAAACTGTGTTATTAGATATTGAATCTGTTACATTCATTCATTTAGAATATCTGCATATCATTTTGTACATACCAGAAATCAGACGAAGCCCTGAAAGTGGTAATGCGATTTCACAAACTCAGAGATAAATATTTCAATTCATCAATGTTCATGTAACATTTATGCATTAAATTCATTTCTTTTTTATTATGGTCAATAAATATCGTTAGGAGTCTATAATTATGGAAAAAAAATTTCATTTTCTATAGCTTCTGTGGAATTTTTTTTAAATTTTTATTCGAATTCAATACAATTGCAGTCTCACCAACAGAAAACTCTCGATTGTACAGATATCGTGAAAACGATGAGAACACAGGCATCGATCCATACAGAACAAATAATCATCAGTTACGATTGAACTATAATCAACAAAGAACCGAAGGTCGATTTCCAAGTTCCGCTCAAGGAAACTATTTTCAAACAAGTACCAAAGCGCCATTGACAACTACAGCTCAAAATGTTCCAGATAATAAAGCCGCCCGAACTGTTGACTATAAAGTTTCACAAGGTTCACAAAAATTCATGATCGGTTTGTTCAGTGTAAGTTGTAATGTGAAATTGAAAAGAAACATGCCGTTGATCGTTTGATTGTTTCTTTCAGAAAACAGCAGACACATTCCGCAACCAGAATGCCAATTTTATGGTGGCTCCATTTTCCATTTGGTCTCTGATGCTATTGTTGGCCGAAGGTGCAACCGGTCAGTCATTCGATCAATTGAAAGAAGCCCTTGGTATTCCGCAAAACTTAACAGAATTAAGGAACACATATGGACATATTGAACGTACCTTAACTGGAAGTTCGGCCATTGAATTGGAGATGAGCCAAGCTGTCATTTATGACACAAATCGTCCGATCATTCCTGAATATAGACAAGTTGTGGAAAGTGAATATAAAGCAGATCTATTGCCAGTCAATTTTGTAAATACACGCGAGGCGGCAAAGGTTGTCAATGAACATATTCGCTTGAAAACACATGATAAAATTCAAAATTTTTTGGAGCCCTCAGATTTGACCGATGTTCAACTGTTGCTCGCTTCTGTAAATTTCTTCAAAGGAAAATGGAAGGTTTGTTTTTTAAGCGCACAAAGTTTTTTTTTTTTGCAATTTTAAATGTTACCAACAAAATTTCACGTATTTTCAGTTCCCATTCCTTATTGAACGTACAGTCGAAGAGGAATTTTTCCGGGATGGCGGCGAATCGGTTGGCAAAGTTCCGATGTAAGTTTTTCTTTTAATATTTGGAAAGAAAAGAAACGAATTGGCGTCAAAACTGAATCTTTTCCCATTTTGAATATAAAATAGGATGGTTCAACGTAGCTTCCTTCCATCTGCAATGATTAATGACTTGAGGGCAAGCGTGCTTGAATTGCCGTACGGTGATGATGGTCAGATTTGTATGTGGTTGATTTTACCGTACTATGATACAACCTCTTCTGCAATACTGGAAAAATTGAACAATTACGATGTTGCGAAAATTAATCACGCACTACACAAATTTGACGGCAACGCAGACTATGAACCAAGTGAAGTTGTATTGAGTTTGCCGCGTTTCAAAATCGAATCAAATTTCGATCTTACAGAAGTTCTTAAGCAACTTGGCATTTCTCATGTTTTTGACTCAGCCAAGGCCAATCTCCCAAAAATTAGCAAGGAATTTCCACACATTTCTCGAATCTCACATAAAGCTGTTATTGATGTAAATGAAGCGGGTACTATTGCAGCGGCAGTAGCTGGTGCTACTGTATCTTTTAAACAACTTCCCATCGAATTCAAATTCAATCATGCATTCAATTTTATGATTGTCGACCGATCAACGAACACCTTGCTCTTCGCTGGACAAGTACAGGATCCTCTTAAGTAAATAAATTGTGATACAACTGTTTCATTTATATTTCCAATTCATCTGAAGAAAAAAAAGAACTAAATGCAAATTATATATGTAACGATAAAATGTCCCACTTCGAAATCATTTTTGAATAATTAATTTCTGTCGATTTTATGATTAATTTGATGAGATTTATTGAACACTACATTGAAGTTTATGATATAATAATATTTTACAATAACAAAATATAAAGTAAACACTCTGCTCTCCACAAAATATTTCGCGAACATATTTTTTTAAAATTTACGCAAAATCCAAATGTAAACAATTTCCATCGAGCAAAGAAAAGAAAAATAGACCGATAATGCTACCACATGTAACCACTAAATCGAGGCTTGTGAATGATACTTTTGGACGACTTTTGAATTTGAACGGATACTGTTATATTTCCATTGGGTCACTACGATTGGAACTCACATAGATGTCGGGTGCAGTTCTTTTCTTCATGTAGTGTCTGCTTATTAAAACAATAATTTTCAATTCTTTTGAATAACAACAATGAAACAAATTCACTTGAAAAATCATTTACACACCCGACTACATGTACGTGGAGTTCACTACAAGAAGTAAGACATGGCATGACCTTTCTATTATAGCTCAATGCTTTTTTAAGGGGTTCTTTTTCCTTGATGCATTCCATTTGTTCAAGGTTGCAATATTTGCTTTTATCTCAATTGACAGTTTTGATTGGGAATAAAAAATAGTATACATTCATCTGGCGCAAAGGTTAGCGTACAATTGCACATCCCCAATTCAAATTGAACTCGAAGATAAATTAAGCACGAAGAAAAACCATACGAGAGGGGTGCATTGATGGGCGAACGTTCGTCTGGAAATCGACATTTTCGCTTGTCAATGGATACGTCTCGTACGTTTTCGGTATTTTTTTGTGTGGTCTAAAAAGGAAATTCGGTTACCACCATACATGGGCACAGGGGGGTGTAAGCCCGGATAATCCCCCTCTTAAATCGTCTGAGGTGAAATTACTTTCAATCTTATCTCCCCATCGGTGTTTTTAAACAGGTCAAAATATTTGCTAGAATACATATTTGGAAATTCGTCTGGGCTCTGCATAAAAATCTGTATAAGAAAATATTATCGAAACGAAATACTAACATGAATAAGATTGTTTGTCGTGAATTCAAATGAAAAGTTACATGTGATAAATAACCATTTTGCTGAAGAAAATGAAATGAAAACTCTATAATCACGTCATTTCTGTCGTAAGTTAATTCATTCCAATTTTAATCACTGCTGGAATAAAATAGCTGACAATAATTATCCATTATTTTCTCTTGTTGAATGGAGTTCGCCATAAAGCACACGCCTTCAAAATAGACTATCTTTCGCTTGAATATGTCATTAAAAACGTCATAATGTCTGCCAACTTAATCATTGCATATTTATGATTAAAATACTCTTCCAGAGTTTTTATGTTATGTTCTTCGTAATATTTTTGTTGTGATATTTCTCAATACAAACCTCATTTGACTCAATTGTATCGAAGTTAGTCAAAACTTCGCCGTCAACGTAATCATTTAATATGTGCACCATTATCATGATTGCGACAGAAGCGATTAGTGTGCAGATCCAATAGATGCTGAAATTATGAGATGGTTTTATATGCTGCACCAAAGTTAAAATACGGAATGAGAATTACAGTTGGGCATTTTCGGTATCTTATTATTCATCTTATTATCTTATCATTCTAATAAGATCAAACTATATTATTACTTATTATTTTTTTGCACTAATAAGTATAGTAATAAGTATAGTTATTAGAATGTTACTAGTCAGAAGACTAATAAGATGCATGTATCTTATTAGTATAGTTATTAGTATAGTATCTCATCAGTATATTTCGATTGGTGTTACTAGAAGCAAATACTACTGAAACACGAAAAACAGCAGAAAGGCAGTCAAAATCACAAAAAAACTCCCAATCGATTTTTCTCGCATTTCCTATGGGAAATCGGCAAAAATAAGCAAATTTGTGTTTACAAAGTGAACACCATACAGCCAACTACTTTTTGGCCTAAAATCAAAATCCGGTGGAATAAAAATCCTGTATAAAATTACTCGAATAATATATATATATGGAATTACATTTTGGAAGTTCTGGAAACCAGGCCAAATCCTGAAAGTCCACCAATCAGCCCAATTCCACCGGATTTGGATTTTGGGCCAAAAAGTAGTTGGCTATTTTTGCCGATTTCCCATCGGAAATGCGAGAAAAATCGACCGGAAGTTTTTTTGTGATTTTGACTGCTTTTCTGCTGTTTTTCGTGTTTCAGTAGTATTTGCTTCTAGTAACACCAATCGAAATATACTGATGAGAAACTATACTAATAACTAAATAGTAATAACTATCTTACTAGTCTGATGTTATTAGTCCCAACTGTAATGGGAACTTCCTTACCGAACCATCACTCTGTATCGACCATTCAAGAAACGAATTCCATGTAAATAGCTCTGGTTTAAAAAATAATCCAGTCTATTTGAAATTTTGCTCGTTTTTCTCAAATATAAATCATTTTTCTTAAATTGATTTGTTTCATTTTGGTGGTGTATATGACCAACACTTCATCATACTTGATTTATTTTGTGGATTCACAACACAAACGTTCTTATATCTCAGAAGTCAGAAGTTTCGACTGCATCTGATTAGATAATTTCATCTCAAAACATATACACTTTCATATTTTATTTGTCATTTATTCGGATTCAAAATTGACGTGCCAATAGGATATTATATTTCGTGCAATTATTAATTTTATTAATGAGATCCCGCATTAATGAAAGCTATAACAAAATACATTCAATCATGTAAAAGTGGTCATATTTTAATGAAAAGAATAAAAGTGGCGACTACTTTCAACGAAAATTCAGGTAACTTATGTTACCAGGTATTCTTACTTCTAAGTGCATCAATTTTTGTAACGAGCCGATATCAAAAATTTTATCAGGGGGAACATTCTGCAGTCTTACTTTTTTCTATGTTTCGATTAATTGATTTTAAGCATTTTTAAGCATCTTTCGTATCTGATAAGGTAACAAAAATTCGATTATTTTGAAGAAATTGGCAAAAAAGTGACTTTTTTCATGAATTTCAGTTTAATTAAGTCGATTTTGTCCCTAGAATCGAGCTGATAGTTTGCTTTGGCGCCAAAATGTCTAAAAAATTCTCGCACTCTAATTATACAATAAATAAAACAATGACTCAAGCCTTAAAAAATACAACTTTGCTTGTTTAACCTTCTTCTCTAAAGGATCCTCGGCAAAGTTGTTCGATCATAAGTCATAATCGAATGTGAAAAGTAAGGTGAAAAGTCATTTAATTCCATTGCGAAACGTATTTATCAAATTCAATTTTGTTGTGACAATCGTTATTTAATAAAACTACACAGTTTTACTATGAACTGCTTTATTGAATATTTAAAATAAAAATGAACATTTCATTATCTTTTACCAAAAGTAAGAACAGAACTGATGAAGTTTAAAGAAACATTAAATTGTTATATACGCGTAAAAATAGAAAGAATTTGAAAAAAATAAATTTGTCAGGACATTGTTATAAATCTTGATTTGTATGATCGATTAAATCGGCGACGATTCGACTCTTTCACCCATTCAATGGTTGATGCGTCTTCGTGAACGTGCCTTTGATGCCAATTTTTCGCATAGTATTTTGCCAGACTTAGACTTGCGAGCGGTTCGTTCAATTTTTTCGCGTTGCATCTTTCCACTGGTCGATTTGTGATCGGTTTCTTTTGAACGTGTGTTGGTAGATTCTTTCACATTCTTGCGTTGCACTCCTACACTAGTACGCATACGAGCTGTTGGTTTTTGCTTCGTACAGAAAGAAGAATTCTGATCAAATGAAGAAGGCAAATTCTGCGAGTTTGAGTATTCCGGAGAACTTGAACGTTGCACATCTGAAGCAACCAAACTAATACTGCTTAAATTGGAATCCGAAAATGGCACCCCTGGTTCAGAATCGTCGGTTAAATCAATAGAACTAATATGCTCGAACATCACGCACTGAATACACATTGAGGTGATGCTTTGTCAAAAATAAAATGAAAACTGGTAAGTGGTTCCTTTAACTGCGGAACTTAAATACTCTTAATAAAAATATACTTTTTAATACGCTGGCCGGGATTTCTAAGCAAAATCGATTGTTTGTAAACAAACATTTTAATGGTTCAAACTATAGGGTCAAAAAGCTATATTCACGTCATACTTCATCACATACGTTACAGGTTCACACAGAATCGAAGAAAGTCCACACAAAGAGAATAAAAAATATGTCATATGTTATTTATGTAAACATTTCATCGAATCAATTTTTAGCTGTCTAATATACTTTCTTACACTTCGTCACAGTGATCTAATTACTTTCTTATCGCTGCTCAAAATGACTTTTTATTGCTTGATGTATCATCAAGCTTTAAAATCGTTATCGGTTAGTTTGTTTGTGACACGCATAACTCAATTATAGTATCAGCTATCTAGCTTCAAACCAAATCTTTCGGATTCCTGAGTCCAATCAGCAAAAACAATATTTTTCTTTTTGGAATATTCATCCAGGAAAATTATTTTCCTTGGAAATGACATTTTGTCTAAGAATTTGTACGGGAATCTGAAAACAACTTGATTTGTAGCTCTTTGGACGTTCTTTCGAGAAAAAAACATAACCAGAATACTCGATCGACCTTGTAAATAGTAGCTCTCGTACAACAAACTATCACATTTCTGTTGATTTTAATGAATTTTCAAGCAAAAGTCGGACTCCTGGGGTTTGAATATATTTTTCAAATTCCACTTGTTTATACATCGATACATCAAGCATTATACTTCCAATTATATTCATGGGCAGTGTATTTTGTGTTATCAGTTGTTATATGTTTCTACTGTTTCATCATGGCAAAGTGTATTCATTCTCCAATTAAACTCTGTATCAACATTTCAATAGAAATAAATTAAACTTCTCTAGCGAATACACTTGAAATATTTGCTCCTAAAATGGTAATCTCTAATAAATTTTAAAATTCGAAACTGGAATTCCCCAACCAAAGTCGAATACAATTTTTTTGCTACTTTTATCATGTAATTTCAAGTAACACAATAGTTAACATAAATAAAAACATGAGACAATTTGAATTGGAGGCGCTTGCTGTTGTCTTTTAAAAAGCCGACAATTTCATGTTTACAAACA